TTGGGTTCGCAAGTGCAGTGACCTCCTCCTACGTATTCCGCATGCGGAACGGAACGTCGTCCGCGTGGCGTCATAACCACTCCGCGCTCGTAAACCACCGGCGGCGAAACGACCGGCACTTCCGGAAAGCGTGACGCTGATGCACTTTAACGTTCAAAACGCACCGGCGGATTTAAGTCGCGACAGCGAAGAGGATTCGACGCTTCCACTCGTCAAAAGTACTCCCTCGATTTAACATTTAACAGAAATATAATTGAGCACAAACACACATTCCACTTTGTGAATTGCTGACAAATCGAAGCCGTAAAATGTCGGACGAGACCTCGGACGAGACACAACCAATGTAATTTATTTTTTCAGCATTATATGAATTATTGATGTCGCATGTGTTTCCATCAATGCGTGTGTATGTTTGTCATGTATTATTAATTTCAATAACATTAGTTGATGAATTACAAAGCTTAATAGATTAATACTGTTTTATAAATTATCAATTATACGAAGAGATATAGATTCTTTTATTATATAATTTTATTAGATACCTATTATATTTAATCTTGAAATATTACATATTAGTGATGGTAGCTAAAAAGTTGCAATGTTTTTTTTTACATTAAAGATTAAAAATAAAAATTGTATGAAAATCCATTCGTCAGAATCTTAAAACGAAAATTTTTCATTCGTTAGAAATTCTTCGGCGTATTGGGACCTAAACGATCTCGTTACAACCATTTTCGTTTCCTTTGTCGATGCCGGCACGCAGACGCGATCGATCTGACGTCTGGCAGGCTTCCGTTTCACTCTATATCCTTCTCTCGAGTCTAGAATATTTTCTCCCTTTAGGAATAAAATATTTTATTCTGTTTAAAGTACACACACATACACGTACACGCACACACATGAAAACTTTATATATCTTTTGTATATTTTTTATATGTTACACACATATATAATTTATATTATAATTTTGATTATTTTGTTATAAGTATTTTGTGCTTTTCTTTTATTTATACATATATTTGATATTGTTAACTTACTGTTTTGACTGAGGTCAAAATAATCAATAGTCAACACACATCCGCGCACGCGTGTTGTCTCTCTCTCTCTCTCCCCCTATATATATATATATATATATATATATATATATATATATATATATACTATATAATTAAAAGAGTAGAAATTAAATAAAAAGCAAAAAATTAGACACTAACAATGAGAGTCGATTTGCGTTGTCAAATGAAAATGCCCTCATTCCGAAGCCGGGAGTATCAGCGGGAGACGAACGTTTGGACATAAAACGAATATATCCGTGTCTGTATTTCTTTGGTTGTGTCGTGTGCATCGCGCGTTAATATTGTTAAATATATATAGATATATAGCCTGGGGAGTCTCGGGGCTTCAAGGTATAATAAATTTCTCCCTTCCTATCCGTCCATCACGCTCGCTTCGCGTTCGCTCGCCTACCTTTCCCATAACCGCAGCGGCGCAGCCGTTACCAATCCGTCTGCGGCGCAGGCCGATGGCCTTTTCGCTCGGCTCCGTCTGTCTCATCTCGTTTCTCGTTCCTTGTTCCTCGGCTCGCAAACGTGACTACACCGCCGCCGCCGCCACCGCTACCGCCACCGCCGCGCCGTGTATCGATCGCGGTCGATGCTCGCCCGTCGAGCAAAATAACGTTAATCAAACGAGAGAGGGTGGAGGGGGCAGGTGGCGACCGCTCCCCTCGTTTGGGGCTGAAGAAACATCCGGCAGTGACATTGAAATTACCGGCCGGAGTACATACACGCGAGAATGTACGGCCCGCGTTGTACATTCGATGCGAATCTTGCTGATATTACGGACATCTTTGACATTTAATGTTTTGTGAGCGTAGATTTTCGATTGGCGTGAATAGTACGATTAATTTGAAAGCGATTTTTTAAAAATGTTCATCGAGACTATGTTCTAAAGTTTTAAGAAGAGTTAAGCTCTTGGAATATTAAAGTCGAGAGAGAAGAGAGCGCCACTCTCAAACTTGTAAATAAATTTACGAAGCATTACTTATTAAGTTGCCATCGAGAAACGATCCAACAAAAAAAATCTGTAAAAGTGTACATTGTTCGGCAAGCGCTGTAGAATGCTTTTACAAAGAATATTACAACTCCGCAATCTTTAAATTATCGATAATCGATATATACATCGTAAAATCTTGATTGTATCAATAATTATTGCCGTGGGAAATCGAAAAACTTTAGCAAAGTCCTCTTTTTCTAATCGTATTTCGCGATTACTCCCGTATATCCTGGGAAGGTTCTTTTCGATCACCCCGTAGAGAAGCACGCACTACCGCTGCGTCGAAGGGCGATGCACCAACGGTTACCGTTCCCGAAGGGCGGTTGCCATCCCCCTTGGTTCCCGCCGCACCACCGTCGTTACTACCACCACCATCACGAGCGGCAACGGACTCGACCCTCGTCGGAACAACTCCGGTTCGAAGGGTTGGGGCGGTCGATGCAGCGTTACTATGGAAACCAGACGCGCCGTCCGCCATCCCTTCCCACGGTGCATTCAACCGTGGGGTTGCGATCCGCGTTCGCGAAAATGCAACAGTGGGGTTGCAGTGCTTCGATAACGGGAATTATCCTCGCCAAGGACACGTTCCTGCATCCGTTTCTCCCTGCGATCCCCGTCGCATTTTTTATTCAGACGCTTCATTTCCCTCGCGGGCGAGAAAGAATTAACTCCTCCCTCTTCCTCCCTCGTTATATCCCGTCGCGATTTGTCATATGTATACGATTGTTGGAAACGTTCTCTATTCTTTCCTCAACGATTCCCGACAATTGAGGAGTGCATATTCAAAGACAGATGATAAGATGAAATGAAGGAGAGAACTGCGTAACGCATAAAGTAATAAATTCTTATATACAAAGTCATAAATTTTTCTACGTATTTCAGATTTTATTTCAAAAACCAAACACAAATGAATAAACGGGAAACGTGATCGTTATTTTCATAGCTCACCAGTTTCAGTTATATATAATGGCTATTGAGTTGCATTCAATATATAATATACGAACAGATTTAACTTCAATATTTCATAAAATATTTTAACAATTTGCCTCTTTCATCGTATACTTCACATTGGCTTCTGACCAAAGTTATCCATGATTATTTCTGTTAATAAAATTGTATCTTGATCGATGAATCTTGTCTAAAATCTACTTCTATCTTGCAGCTTCAATGGAAAGTTAAAAGAGCTGACTGTGTACATCAACGCAAATAATTTGTCTTATAAAATACGCGTATTTAGGACATTCTTGGCGTGAAGTTATTTTATTCAGCTGGAAGATATACATATACATACATATATTGTGTCTATATGTATGTGTATGTACACATACACACGATTTTTATACGTAAACTTCACAATGGCGTGAATTCTCGCTTTCGGTGAGTTCACCACGCGTTCCCCGCGACTTCCTTGGTCTCGGTATGTTAAACACAGCTTTCCGGCGACCTCGGGCTCCACGGACACTTCCCTCAGGAGCGTTCACCTTTTATCTCGGGAGTTAATCGAAATTCTTGCACGAAGACGGCGCGGCGCGCCCGGTCGCGCTAGCGAGCGAGGACTCGCTCTCTGGTGCAGTAACTTCAGAAGCATTTCCTGGAGCGCGCGAGCAGATGCTCTTTGTTCTCTTCGCCTCTGCGGTTTCTTCTCTCTCTTTCTCTCTTACTATGCGGCTTTACTATCTCGTTTCTATTCTCCCACGTTGGGTCATTTCTAATGATGTCATTTAGTTTTTGATTACTCATTTAAATTAAGAAATATGAAACAACCCGAATAAAGGCGATTTTAAAGGAAAAGAAAATCTCTAACGTCATTTTCTTTATTAAATCTTTCTGCGTCGATGGAACAGGATAATGTCAGCCGGTTGAAGCATGAAGCTTCTGAAAAATGATATTTTCACTTAGCACGTTAAAAGACTTTCTTCCTCTTTCTCTTTTTCTATTCGTTCTCTCTTTTTCTTCCTCGACGTTACCTTTTACTCTTTGCTCCTCCTCTTCCATCTCCTCCTTCCGAGCGTGGAAAAGCGAGTGTCGTCGCACGGTATCCGATAAATTTGCTCGACCGGGTGGGAGAGAAGTACGATAACCTTCGCATTCATGACCTTGGACTCGCGGTCTATACCAGTCCTCCCTCGTTCTTCCTTTTCCTTTGCCGCCGGCGCGCGTCGTTCCCTTTCCTCCGGCCGATCTCTCTCCTCTTCTGACTGCCAGGTGAAACATGGCCGTCCGGCTCGAGCGATTTAATTAGAGGGACCGAAGCCTCCTGCTCGTCGCGCGAGCCGCGCGAATAACCGCTGCGCCTCGGGGGTGCAGAGGAGAAAAGGTGGAGAGATAGCCAGACGTGCGCGTGGGAATCGCAATAAAAGAGACCTTTAAGATAGGAAACGCCGTAATAACGATTAATCGCTACGACAACGGCGGCTCTCTCGAGGAACAGCCGAGGAGAGCGCGTGATAGTTGAACGTTACGACATTATTATATTATACTGTTATTACAGTAGATACTATTACCAATGAGACGCATAATGTTATGATATTCTTTCGTTATCACGAACTCTATCGTGGAAGATATAGAAATGTACGTATAAATTCGCTTATTACTTTTAACAAAGCGCCATTATTAAAATTTCATTTTATGTAAGCGTGCTTTACATAATAGAAAAAAATATGGCTATATTGATTATATCATTATGTTGATGCGGTGTTAATAATTAATAATATTTTAATAAGGGTTAATCATCAATTTGGTGGAAAATTATAAGTTATAAGAAAAAGAGTCACATAAACGTGAGTAGAAAAATATTTATTTAAAGTGAACACATAATTGTCGAAATCTTTCAAATAGCAACAGTGAATTTTTATTGTTGAAAAAATAATTTACAATGTTACGACGTTCTATGAAACAAAATGTAGTAATACATGATATAAATATTAGTTATTTTCTGCTTGCAGGGATGCCGGTTGATTGAAGATGGCCTCGCCGACACCCTCATTGGAATCGCGCGCAAATTCCCTCGGGTCCCCGGTTTCGCTGTCCCCAGTAACGGTGAGCGGCAGCTCGCCGCCTGCTAGCGACTCGGCGATCTGCGACGTCGACAGCTGCGACTTGTGCCTCGACGCACCAAAGTCGGGCGAAGATCCGTGCCCGCGCTGCCGGCTAGGTAGCACGAGTGGCACTCCCATTCACATCCGTTGCACCGGCTGCAAATCCGCTGAAGGCGTTGTAGCTGGCGCTGTATCGCGTTGTTACGATTGTGATCAGTTTCTCTGTCCAAATTGCGTGATGGCACATCAATACATGCTCTGTTTCGAAGGCCACCGGTTATTAAACTTGGCCGACTCCAAGCTGGAGACCGTCGGCAGCGGTGGTGGCGGCGGCGGCGGTGGCGGCGGAAATGGTGGTGGTGGAGGAGGAGGTGGCGGCGGTAACACGATCACCGCGACGACGGAACTGCCCAAAAGCGCCTGTAACGGTAGCAGCGGCGGCGGCGGAGGTGGCAACAATCTGGTTATCAACGGCACCGGGAACAGCAACAACGGAGGAAACGGGGAGAAGATACACTTTTGTGGACGACACAAGCAGGAGATAATCAAGTATTTCTGCCGGAGCTGCAATGTGCCGATTTGCAAGGAGTGCACGTTGACAGAACACGCAGGACCGCTACATGACTGTGCCCACGTCTCGGAGGTAGGCACACAACAACTGGAGGCGTTGTCGCGGATCGTTCAGGAGTGCCGCTCGAAAGCGGCGGACGCGCGTGCGGCGGTCAAAGCTACAGACCATAACACCGCGATACTACAGGTGCAGTATCACAAGGCGCAAAATGAGATCAACGATACCTTCCAGTTCTATCGATCGATGCTAGATGAGCGCAAACAGGAGCTGCTGAAAGAACTCGACTCAGTGTTCTCGACGAAGCAAATCTCCTTGAACGTGCTCTCCCAACGAGCCAACGAGATGGCGGACAAGATGATGCAGACCTGCGATTTTGTCGAGCGTGTAACCAAGGTCACCACCATTACTGATTTCCTCATGGTCAAGAAGATCCTTGAGGCAAAACTTCAAACGTTGCTCAGTAACATACCAAACACGGATATAGCCAGTCAGACCGCGGATCTCGAATTCGTCAGCAATTACCAGGCGATACAGGTCGGAGTGAGAAACACCTTCGGCTACGTTCGGAGTAACAGCAACAGCGAAAACAACGCCGGTTCGATCGGCAAGCAGCCACCTATCGCACGACCTACCGCTCTGTCGAGCAACGGCATTGGCAGCGGCGGCGGCAGCAACATGAGCAACGGACTCGGAAGCGGAGCTGGTCCTTTGGGCGGTCTTCTCTTAGAACGGACTTACAGTAACGGCCTGATCTCCTCCAGTATGAATTGCGGCTCGTCGTCATCACCTTCCTCGATCGACACTGTCAGCAGCGTGATCTCAAAACGTTTCAGTTCAGCTAACAGTCTCGGCCCGTTTTCCACGACGATCAGCGACGTGAATCTGAATGGCATGAATGCCAATCCGTACGAGAAATGGAGCAACGGCGGTAGTGACACTTATCCGGTCGTGACGACGAATGATCATTTCGCGATGCCGTCGGTAGCCGTAGCGACGAACGCCGCACCGGGCGATTCCGTCCTTGACTTGACTTCGAAACTGATGTCCGCCACCGCGATATTCCCGCCCAAGTCGCAGATCAAACGGCAAAAGATGATTTACCATTGTAAGTTTGGCGAGTTTGGCGTGATGGAGGGACAGTTCACCGAACCATCTGGCGTCGCGGTGAACGCGCAGAACGACATCATCGTTGCCGACACGAACAATCATCGCATCCAGATCTTCGACAAGGAAGGCAGGTTCAAGTTTCAATTCGGCGAGTGCGGCAAACGCGACGGCCAATTGCTCTATCCAAACCGCGTCGCCGTCGTGAAGACGTCCGGTGACATTATCGTTACGGAACGTTCGCCGACCCATCAGATACAGATTTACAATCAATACGGTCAATTTGTACGCAAGTTCGGCGCAAACATCCTCCAGCATCCACGCGGCGTCACCGTCGACTCGAAGGGACGGATCGTTGTCGTGGAGTGCAAAGTGATGCGCGTCATCATCTTCGATCAGACCGGCAACGTTCTACAAAAGTTCGGCTGCTCGAAACACCTCGAGTTCCCGAACGGCGTAGTGGTGAACGATAAGCAGGAGATCTTCATCAGCGACAATCGCGCCCATTGTGTCAAGGTTTTTAACTACGAGGGCGCTTATTTACGGCAGATAGGCGGTGAGGGTATCACCAATTATCCGATCGGCGTGGGCATCAATACGCATGGCGAGATACTAATAGCGGACAATCATAATAATTTCAATCTGACCATCTTCACGCAGGATGGCCAATTGGTCTCGGCTCTTGAGAGCAAGGTGAAGCACGCGCAGTGTTTCGATGTGGCGCTAATGGACGACGGTTCGGTCGTATTGGCCAGTAAGGATTATCGGCTGTACATATACCGCTATGTACAGGTACCGCCGATCGGCATGTAGAGCAGCGACGCGTCACGACGACGACGATGATCGTCGTGCGCCAAGTGTCAACATTTTTCATCGTGTCATTATCGCCATCATCATTGCCGCTCTTCGTCGTGCGACGATCGCGGGACCACCGCGATCTCATCGATCTTTTCTCTCACCTACGTTCGCCTGTCTTCTATCGCTTCACCGCCAACGCTCGCGCGCTCAACTCACCACCTCCGTCATCATCAACTCATCACCTTCTTCGCTCGCCCCACCTATGAGACGTTTCACGGAGAACCGCCGACCATGAGAAAAGAAGCGCACCATTTATTGCTCCATACACGACTCTCAAAGAGATCGACACCCGAGCGAGTGTCGTTCACGCGGCAAGAATTTGGGAGTCCCCTCGCCGGAACTTTCCCGAGGCGCTCCTCTTGTGGATTCTGCCGAACGACGGATATCATCGACGGTATGCGAGAAAGCACGCGCGCGCTTCCCTCGATAATCCTCCTTGCGTTTCCGCGAGCTGCCCTCTTCGTCCCGCGTAGACGAGCGGAAAGAAAGAGGAGAAACGCGTGATGCTTTGTGTGTATGGCCCTCGCGACGCTGGGCTGTCGAGGACCCGTAAACAAGAGAAAGAGAGTGAGAGAGGGAGAGAAAGAGAATGAGAGAGGACGTAAATCAACCCTGCCCCGACAAATTCGCGCGCGCTCCTTTCTTCGCGCGTACGCGCCGTATATACGCGTGCGCGTACACGATAACTTACTTGTTAATGTTGTTATAATACTGAAAATACTGTTGTTGTTGTTTAGTTGTAGAGCTCGCCGCCGCTAGTCACTTCCCCCTCGCCTTCCACCCTCCGCTCCTATTCCTTCACGCCCGTTACCACTTTCCTACTCCCTCATTCCCATTGTCCACACTAACCAACGGTCCTCTCTGAGACCTCGTCCGACGATCACATCAGGAAACGTGTTTCCACTCGTCACGACGACATATGGTCTACACTTAACTAACACAATGCATCGGGTCGTTACGCGTGCCCAAATTCACGCGCGTTCACCACATTTTCGTTACTCTCTTCGACGGTGGTCGATTGCGGCCGTCGCGCTCGGGTCACTTCCGGTCATCGCGCTTCAAAATATCTCCCTCCAAATGCCGTGCGAGGTTCGCGAGGAAGGTCCGTTTCGTTGAATAACTCGTGAGAGGATCCATTTCGAGATCCACGCGAAATCCAACGATTTTGCGCAAATTGCCTTCAACAGGTTTGATCTTGTCCCACGGGACTCGAGACTGATTACCGTGAGTATTATATGGGCTTATTACTCCGGTAAGCTTCGAACTAGTTCGTACATTGTCAACACATCTTATCTGCGGTCTTCGTTAAACGATTTTGTTTCCCAAATTGTTTGTATTTTATAGATCTCTATGGACAATTATTTGATCTTACTGCATAAGACGTCAGATTGATCCATGTGTTGTCAATGCGTTTGCAGAAATGGTTTCAGAAATTGTTGGAGAAATTAGTAATTTCGTCATTATATTTCGATACAATGTAATATAATACGTCGACATATTTGGGTAACAGACTCGCCGAAGATTGTTGAGGCATGTATATGGGCGCACTTGGGACTGTGCTGATTATCCGAGATCAATTGATCCAATATCATTCGTGAAACGCGAGAATCGTCCCGCGGATTCTAAGTCACCGGACGACAGGACATTTTATATGTTGCGGATAGATCGGATACCGTTGTTGAATTTGTCCTTCGATTCCGTTTCTCCCCTTCGTTTTGTAACGATTATCGACAATTCCTACGGAAACTCATTCTGAGGTGCATTTAGTATTGTAATTATGACGGCGTTTCGTTGAACGGTCATCGGGCGCGTTTATTTTTTTTGTCTCTTTAATTATATTATTATTGATTAGTTTTACTTAATTAATTTCCGCACCTCTCTCCCAGGACATTCGTCTCACTCATTTTGTCGCTAAATCGCGTCGACCCATGTTAACTTTTCGGTCGTTACAGCAAAATTACTTTTCTCACTCGATTTACGTGGATAAATTTAATTACCACCTTTATCGGCGAGTATGTGCTGAGTGCTTATCGACGGTATCGTTATTCATTATGTTTAAATATAATGTCGCGATATGTTTTGGAGTATTAGCGAGGAACCATTGTACCAAGTAACGTTAACGCTTAAATACGAGATAAATTCATTTATAGATAACGCAAATAATTCTAATAGGGATTAAAGATTGTTTCACTCACGGAGACACGCAAGAGAATCGCAAGAGAATTTATAAAGACCTGAATATAGTATTATAAGAGATGAATCTCAAGAAAAAAAAATAGGACGCTTAGCGTTTGATCCATGCGTAAAAAAAGCCGATTGCGTATATCGGTGTGTTAAGATCGTCGAAGCTAATTCTCGGCTTTCATAGCAAAATAACGCAATCGTTTTAACGTAACCACTATCCTCATCAACGATTACGAAAGCAGAGGACGAATTTTGTCATCGTCTTCTCTAATTTTCCATTTTACGGCAAAAACCCTCTTCCTTTTTCTTTCTATTAGCGTAGTTAGTATTGTAGCGCATATAGTAGTTATTAGCCGTTTTTAGCGATCGTATAAGACTTTCCTTTTTGCTCTGTATCTCGTTCTCTCGATAGTTACGTTGTCACAGCCTGATGCAACTTTTGTTCTTTTCTCTTCTTCATTTGTGTCGCTGCGCTTAAAAAAAACAAAACAGAATGCGTTGTTGCTGCTGCTTACATTCTTATAGATTTTGACGAAACCACCGTCTATCCCAACCACCAGCGATGAGAATCATCACCACTACCATCACCCTCCGATTTCCACCCGACTGCCACGCTGCCGTTTTAGGTTTGCGCGGGCGTCTTTTTCACTCGAAACAAAAAACTTATAGTATTAATAATATATTTTGTTGGATGGATCGTCAATTGCGGAAGTCGTCACAAGTCTCCGCCGCGCGACTCCGTGCATGTTTGCTATTATTATATTTTTTATTAATATTATTCTATTATTATTCTATTATATATTATTAACGTGTTGCGACTTTCGATTGTCGATGCGAGACGTCATCCAACGCCCCCCGTATTGTGAAGAGAAAAAGGCTAGCTGGCATACCCTAACGACCCTGATTACTACGGTCACGAAGATTCGTGGATTATGTCAGGATCTTCGGTCGTCGATTGCTTCGCTCGCGCGAACATCAATTCGATTCTAGAAACGCCTTGGGCTGATTTAGTTTTCTCGCGCTCAATCGCTCGGGAAAAAAAATTATCACGCTACTTGGAGAATATTACGAGTTTTACATATGAAATAATTAGTAAAATTCTTTTAAAGATTGATTCTCCACGATTTGATCGAGTATTGAATATTATTTCAACTCAATGACAAATTTTTAAATAAAATAGTAAATTAAGGTAGTAGTATAATGATCGATCAACAGTTGACTTTCTGCAATTCTATTGGACAAGTGATAACTAAAATTCAATATTTCCGCATCTTCGAACAGTTTCGTCATCGATCGTAATCGAAGATCCTGGGATAATTCGCGATGATTGCTTGATTTGGTAGTCGAATCTAATTGCACGTTTAGTTCAGCAACGTGCTGACATTTTACAAAGTCGGATTGAAGATTCATGACATCTGATTAAGGACTTTATTTGATTTGAATATTTTTGATCCTTCGATCAATCTACTGTGAATTAAGTGTTCGAGAAACACGAATTGCGATCTAAACATTTTGTATCTTCTGCAGTTCGTTGTTAAGAAATATAAAATGCGAAAAGAGAAAGGGAGGTGTAATCAAAAAGTTTCCATGACGTTCATGTGAATGTTGCGAATCTTATAACCGACGTTTGTAAATTAGTGAGTATTTAGGTAGAGACACGCGAATTATGATGCACGAAAAACGCTCTGTATCATTCGACAAGTGTGTTATAATTTGACAGATACGGGCACTAAAATAAATGTTGAATCGTGAATCCTTTAATTTTTGCGCGGTTAAAGAGTTGCAATTAAAGACTACTGAACTGCAGGCGATCGTCGTTGAATTACGTCCTTGTTCGTCCGAGGTAATTCCATAGACATTCCGTAAACATTTCCGATCTTCGAGTCGCGCAAACGCTCTCAGAATCATATCACGGACCAGTTATGCGCACATGTCGTTTGCCGTCTCGAATAGAGGATTCGATATTATTTTTTACCACAAATTCTGGACATTTTCCGATTGGAATGTCCTCGTTACGAAGACAAACTCTAAGGACGGACAAGGAGGATGGAAATTTAATTCTAACAGGGTACCCGGAATAAAAATAAACACAGCTCACCGAGAATTATTTGGATCATTCTCATTTTTTTTCATATCGCGGTTTTGTTTCGATGTTTTTGTTTTAATCTTTCGATTAAGCGCCATTCCCGCATCGACTCGGGCAAACCGTCAAGCTTTTTTTTTTCAACTTCTTGATTCGTCAAGCTATTTCAACTTTAATCGATCGCGCTTCCGCGCCTTTAATCTTTTAAATAACTTGACAAAGACGGAATGCCAAAAGAACGACGTGAATGGATTATTTGTAAAAATTCGAAATCTTCTCTAGGAAGGGGGGGGGGGGGGGGTATTAATTTGGGGAGAGAAAGGGGGTGCACGAAGAAAGTTGCACCGTCGAGACGGCATCACAAGGTATCTGTCCATTAGTATTTATATCACATAAGCATGTGTTGATCCCTAATTAACATTACTGTCATTATTATCATTATTATTGCTATTATTAATTAGTTATTATTGATATTTAGTTACTATTATTATTATTACAATATTCTTATTAATCAGTTATTATATCGTTATTGTATCGTATTAACGCGTTTGACGCGAGAACCGAGGAGAGACGATGCGCCGCCTTGCCAGCTAGCCATCACTACCACTTCGCCGCTCTCATTGTCAATAATAATCGGCCGTGAGGCGCGCGCACACAAGACAAGAGATTAAATTCCATTCCTACGCATTACTCCCAAAGTAAAAGCCCGCGAGATGTATGTACATGCGTGTGTGTATGTGTATATGTTACTACTGTGCCTGCGTGTGTTTTATATATGCGTGCGCGCTCGCATTGCTCGCGTTATCACCGAGAATGAGACGCTCCGCGATGCGCGCGAGAGATGAGAACGAAATACCGTTTCGACACTGTCACTTTTTTTCTCGCTGTCAGCCACTCTTTTTTCCTCTTTTTTTGTACTGGTTTGTTATGTTATTATTATTAATATTATTATAATATTATTGTATTATTATTTTTAGATGATACAACTCGATTGTTCTTAATTTAATTGTAAATCGTATTTTTGTTTGTTTTTTAGTTATTTTTTGTTGTAAAATGCTTTTTAATAATATTTTCAGTTCACATTACGAATGAGCCGCTGGTCTTATTTTTATTTTCTACATCTCTTGCCTGCTGTTCCCCGACAACGATGGCCCGGTTCGGAAAATCAATATCTCCCTTTTGAGGAAAGTCCATTTTGAAGCATCGAATCTAAATGCAACTTTTAAGAAAAGTCCACTGTCAAATGGAAATGTAATTACTGATATACAAAATTTCGGAACTTTACTATTTTTTCTTGTTACACACAGATTAAACATTTTTCGCATCCTCGTATCACAATACGACGGTGCGAATTGAGATTTAATTTTTATTATTTATTATATAAATGATAAAGAAATAATAATATTTTTAAAACACTGGTATGGCAATCGAAATAATATAAATTTGATTATTCATTGTTCCAATGATTTTTCTTGGTTTTTTCTTATCAAATGTTAACATTATCTCGAATCAACATTTTTCGAACCGGTTTGTCGATATTTTTTGCCGAGTAATCGGATTTTCATTTACGATCCTTATAGGCGTATCATATGCGCGCTTTAACGCAAGTATAATCGACGAGAGAACCTGCCCCCAATGAAGCTTCCTCGCCGAAGGTGATCAGTACATTCCACTATAACGTGTGCGTTACGTAGCACTATGTTCCTGTTTGATTATAGATGATGCAGTATAGTCTCTATAGATCTCTTAGCGTAGCTAGTTGTTTGTTGTCCACCAACACACGGTGTCCTCGTTACGTAGCGTAACCGCTGGGCTTTCTCAAGCAATTTAAAATTATTACATGAAAACAGGAAACGCTGTTAAAAACAATCGAAATTTTATATATTTTTTAAATCAACTATTTGAATTATTTTATGTACTATTTCTTGATTTGTATTAATTGTTAAGAATTATTAACTGATTACTAATTAATTTATATTATTTTACAGTGATTTTCAGTATGTTATTTCTTCAATTTGGCCTGTAAAAAAAGTAGGTGCTTATGTTTTTTTCTTTTCATTTTTAATATTTTTTTTTTTTAATTCAAAAATTGTTTGAGAAAGATAAAATTATTCTATATTGTGACAAATGCCAAAGATGATAAGCAGAAGTGATGTTGACAAGTGATGAATGAATAGGAATCTTGAAAAGAACATTTAGCCAACACCTTATCGATCGATATATTCAAGTCGAGGAATGACCAAGCCAATTGTATTCTCTCGAGTTGTTAAATTTTACTTAACTTGTTCCTAGCACACATATTCCTCTTGATATCTTAAGTGCGAAAATGTAACGTGAGACAAAAAACTCGATCAGTTCTTGACCTAATCCCCGGTATCGAGTATCCAGGCTTTTCCCGACAGTTCCCTTTCCGCGCGACGATCTCCTTGTGACGGACGATCAGCAAGATAAAGAAACGAAATTGAGAACGACGAAACGAGGTCTCGCGAACGGGGAAATTCCCGCGGGCGAGCGCAAGACCCTTCAGCGGTACTCGGCGTGATGTCGTGATCGCCGGTGAATTAATAATAATGAGGAAAAAAAAGAGAGACGAGTTTTTAGAAACCTATAGCGGATTATAGATGTCACATATATATTTTTGTACGTTCGCAACGCGCGTTAATTGTGTGCCGACCACGCCGAGCGCCGCCGACGAAACGCATGCAGAACACTTGTTTTCTTTGAATCGAGAACACGAGGAGGGATGGGCCTGCCATAAATCACCTTGGCTTGCCGCAATTTTTGCGGCAACGTGAAATCATCTGTGTTGCGAGTAATTCGATCTCCGGTCGAGGGTCAGAGGAAACTTTCCCCATGTGGAAGAAGAGGAGAGGAGACGAGATCGAAAGCTTAACGACAAAAACGATATCCGTGCATTTCGAAAGGAGGGGGAACCTTTTTTTAACTATCCACACGACGCCACACACTTGAGACACAAAAGCAAAGACAGCGGCGCGCGGCGACTCTGTGTAACTTTCGCGAGAAAGGGAGAGAGCGAGAGAGAGAAAAAAAAGAAGAAGAAAAGTTACATTCTTCCCGGGCCCAAGTAATGTTACTTAACGAGTAAACAAAAAAAGAGCAACTGTGAAAGTGAGATGATGAGAGAGTGTGAGAGAGAGAGAGAGAGAAAGACACTTTGGGGAGAAAGAGTATGAGAGGAGGGGAGAAAGAGAGATTGAATGGCTGATCGCTATTTTTAACTCGAGAAAAAAAATACCACTCCAAGTATTGTTGCATGCCTAGTTATATATTGTACTTGCTGCCGAGCTGCAGTCTCTCTGACACCACACGACGGATATTACGATGCTGTAAACGAAACGCCGTGGAGAATCGGCGCGTCGCAACATCGGGCTCGGTAGCACCGAATCGGCTGGCTCCGGTCGATCGTACTTTCGTCCTCTGCACAGCTAGGTTATTGTAATTTAGCGAGGCCGCCGGATCGCGCTGACCGGAGTCGATCGTGGTGCGACCGTGGGCCCTTGGGCGACATACGCGATCGCGAATTTCCTAGTCCGTAAGCGATATACGCGAATTAATTATTATCGTACGCATATATCACTAGCATGATTAAACGTGGTGTATACGTATCCGCGCGTGACGTGCGCCAATCGACGACGATACGGATTACAAGGAAGTCCACGAATCGAAAACGAGCGTGCGCTATTAACCATTAAGTTTCGAATTTCTTCGAAGATCGAGAAATTCGAAGGGGAGAAATTCACGAGATCATTAACGTTATCGAGATAAATTCAGCTCGAGAAACTCGGTCACGTGTTTGGTGCTCGAGTCTCTCAACATGATCTCATTGTTCTCGACTATGCAACTCTGGAAAAGTACGGTTCGAAGAAAAAGATTACGAGAAAGTGTCGTTAAAAAATCCATTTCAAAACATTTTCCGATAAAAAGAAAATTATTACAGGGGACTCGCCTGCCGTTGACCGTCCTTATGAAATCAATTCAAGTCTTGGTTTTGCAATCGTGATCAAAACGGTGATCTGGAAATGAGAGAGTAGCGAAGTACGCAAGCGCGGAAAATGACGCGAATTGCTCCATAATGCGAGTTATAGGTATGAAGAAAAGGGGTACGGGGAGAGGAAAAAAGGAAGTTGATGCGTACGTTCGAAGTACAAAGATGGCGAAAGGTTCTTTATTATTATAGCCTGATCGACGAACAAATTATCAGGCCGGTCGCGTCGTTCTCCTCTGGAATTTAAGTAGATCTTAAGACGTTACTCGATGTTGAATGGCTAGTTATCGTTAATCGTTGAACCGCCCTTGCTGCTTACTTACCTTGGGAAAAGTTTTTAATGGATTGTCCGTATGTTGAAGCGTGAAGGTGAAACGACGCGACCGGCACTCCGCGTTTCCATTAAGAGTATCTCTTCACGTCTTTTTTCTCCTTGAAGAATCGCTATTCCGATCTTCCGATACGCCACTCAAGTCTTCTCTTTTTTTTACCCTGAGTTCTATGTATAAGATTTTTAAATCTGCGTTATCAAGCCCTTTGTTCTTTCCATATGGAATCTTTATCTTTACTCTTATGTACATACTGCTCATTCGATATCATTTTATCCGTTTTGTAACATGCGATTTAGAACCGAGATGTCATTTCTAATTCAATTCTTATTAGATTACCGAAAACAAATTAATTGATGTCAAATAATAGCACAATCTTAAATTGAATCTTTCATAAGCACGTGTCCCAATTCGTCGTACTTCGTGGTATTTTCAGAGTTGCGAGTTCCGTAATAAAATGGTACACAATCGCGGAACGCAGAATCAATTTTCAGCCCTCATTTCGATCAGGGAGAAAAGAAAACACTCGTGAATTTCGACGTACTTTAATGCCTTCCGGTGAAGAGATGTAATCGGAAAGTATCGTATAATTGTAAGTGCGACGCAGATTTCGCGTGGACCCACTTGTACGATTAACTAATACATTCCATTACGAGGAGCTTATCAGAAGGGGCGCGCGGCCCAACCGTACCGGTTTCCTTTTCTCAACGAACCGCCACTTTTTGCGGGAAAAGGAAGGAAGAAAAGGAGGTGAGAGAGGCGGGAGGAGTGAAAATGATCGAACTGTAATCGATCAGCTGACAGCCGTTGATTGGGCACAGCACGTGGTACGGTATGTGTTGTAATTTAAGATACGTTTTTCTAGACTTAGCTCTCGCGTGTTTTTAAGGTTTAACTCTAGCGAACGAAAATAAGAGAGAGAAAGAGAAGGGTGTACATGCATGTGGGCGAGATAGTAAGGTTTTTGCTATGTGGTGTATAGATAAGAAGCCTCCAGTATTCCAGAATGTCTGTCATGTAATCGTGAATCGTTTACTCTTAATTTTTACCGTCGAGCGAGAGAAGGTGGGAGAAAAGGAGCGCCGAGCATCTCCTTGAAGCGACGAAGGAGTTAAATACTGAAAGTAAGATAGCGCGTTAAATGAAGTGGACGAGAGAGAGGAGAGGGGAGGAGGAACAGAGAGGGTGTGAGGGTGAAGAGACAGGGGAGACGGGTGAGCAGAACTTATATGTATATTACGTGTATGGGATATATTAATTAAGTCGAGTGTGTTTTATTCGTCGGCCATTTTTCCGGTGCCGCCCGCCATCTTGTTATTACTATTGTAAGTCGTATGACAAGAAACTTATACGATTGAATGTCTAGTCATGGCCTCTCGATAACCTTTGCTACTTTGCATCGCGTGTAAAGCAAGTTAAACACTCAGCGTATATAATAATTAACACTATTAGCCGGTAAGGTAACACGTACACGCACGTATATATAAATATATACGTACGAGACACGGAGACACGCGCATGACACACACGTACACTCGAGGAAGGACACGTGCGCGGAGCACAGGGATAATTACTATTATTATCGCTATTACTATTATAATTATTACA